AATCGGATTTTGCTTTTGATCCGGGATAGACGTGATTAAAGCAAAAAAAAGAAGGAATCCATCCAGGTCATAGCTGGGAGAGAGAGAGAGAGACACAGTGTTTCCCGTTGATTGCAAGGCTTTTATCAGTGTTTATTTTTTTTTTTTTACTTATTTTATTTTTAAATTTCATTTTTATTTTATTGATTTTGTACAGAGAGGAAGGGAGAGAGACAGAGAGTTAGAAACATTGATGAGAGAGAGTCATCAATCCGCTGCCTCCTGCACGCCCCCCACTGGGGATGTGCCCTCAGCCACCGAGGTCCATGCCCTTGACCGGGAATCGAACCCGGGACCCTTCCGTCCGCAGGCCGACGCTCTACCCACTGAGCCACACCGGTTTTGGCTGATCGGTTTTTATTGTTAAAAATATATTCCTATGGATACAGACGAGGAAGGGAGAGGGAAGGAGAGAGAGAGAGAAACATCCATGAGGAGAGAGAATCATGGACCGGCTGCCTCCTGCACGCCCCCTACTGGTTGGTGATGAAGCCTGCAACGCGGGCCTGTGCCCTTGGCCGGGAATCGAACCCTGGACCTCCTGGTTCCTAGGTCCATGCTTAACCCCTGAGCCACACAGGCTGTGCTCAATCTTATGAAATTTTGTTTATTTACTTAAAATACATTTTTTATTGATTTAAGAGAGAGGAAGGGAGAGGGAGAGAGAGAGAGAGAGAGAGAAACATCAAGGAGCAAGAGGCAGCTGATGGATGATTCTCTCTCATCGACGTTTCCAGCTCTCTCTCCCTCTCTCTTTCTCTCTGTAAAAAATCAATAAAATATATTTTTAAAAAATTAAAAAAAGAGAGAGTCCTTGCCGAAACCGGTGTGGCTCAGTGGGTAGAGTGTCGGCCTGCGGACGGAAGGGTCCCGGGTTCGATTCCGGTCCAGGGCATTGGCCTGGGCTGTGGGCACTATTAAAAAAAAAAAAGGCAGAGGAGTCCTGGGCAAGGGGGGCGAGGGGGATGGGGGGACATCCCACGTGTCTCTGGCTGCAGACACCCCCCACCCCATCAGCATTTGGGGACAGCTGCCCCGAGGCCCCTCCCAGGCCCTGCCCCCCACAAAGCCCGTCCAGATATGAGGCAACAATGAATGCACACAACAGACATCCAATCAATGCATACAACAGGCACCCAATCAATGCACACAACAGGCACCCAATCAATGCATACAACAGGCACCCAATCAATGCACACAACAGGCACCCAATCAATGCACACAACAGGCACCCAATCAATGCATACAACAGGCACCCAATCAATGCACACAACAGGCACCCAATCAATGCACACAACAGGCACCCAATCAATGCACACAACAGGCACCCAATCAATGCATACAACAGGCACCCAATCAATGCACACAACAGGCACCCAATCAATGCACACAACAGGCACCCAATCAATGCACACAACAGGCACCTAATCAATGCATACATGAGGCACACAATCAATGCATACAACAGGCACCCAATCAATGCACACAACAGACATCCAATCAATGCATACAAGAGGCACACAATCAATGCATACAACAGGCACCCAATCAATGCACACAACAGGCACCCAATCAATGCATACAACAGACATCCAATCAATGCATACAACAGTCACCCAATCAATGCACACAACAGGCACCCAATCAATGCATACAACAGGCACCCAATCAATGCATACAACAGGCACCCAATCAATGCATACAACAGGCACCTAATCAATGCATACAACAGGCACCCAATCAATGCATACAACAGGCACCCAATCAATGCACACAACAGGCACCCAATCAATGCATACAACAGGCACCCAATCAATCATACAACGGGCACCCAATCAATGCACACAACAGGCAACCAATCAATCATACAACAGGCACCCATCAATGCATACAACAGGCACCCAATCAATGCACACAACAGGCACCCAATCAATGCATACAACAGGCACCCAATCAATCATACAACGGGCACCCAATCAATGCACACAACAGGCAACCAAACAATCATACAACAGGCACCCAATCAATGCACACATGAGGCACCCAATCAATGCATACAACAGGCACCCAATCAATGCATACAACAGGCACCCAATCAATGCACACAACAGGCACCCAATCAATGCATACAACAGGCACCCAATCAATGCACACAACAGGCACCCAATCAATGCACACAACAGGCACCCAATCAATGCATACAACAGGCACCCAATCAATGCACACAACAGGCACCCAATCAATGCACACAACAGGCACCCAATCAATGCACACAACAGGCACCCAATCAATGCATACAACAGGCACCCAATCAATGCACACAACAGGCACCCAATCAATGCACACAACAGGCACCCAATCAATGCACACAACAGGCACCTAATCAATGCATACATGAGGCACACAATCAATGCATACAACAGGCACCCAATCAATGCACACAACAGACATCCAATCAATGCATACAAGAGGCACACAATCAATGCATACAACAGGCACCCAATCAATGCACACAACAGGCACCCAATCAATGCATACAACAGACATCCAATCAATGCATACAACAGTCACCCAATCAATGCACACAACAGGCACCCAATCAATGCATACAACAGGCACCCAATCAATGCATACAACAGGCACCCAATCAATGCATACAACAGGCACCTAATCAATGCATACAACAGGCACCCAATCAATGCATACAACAGGCACCCAATCAATGCACACAACAGGCACCCAATCAATGCATACAACAGGCACCCAATCAATCATACAACGGGCACCCAATCAATGCACACAACAGGCAACCAATCAATCATACAACAGGCACCCATCAATGCATACAACAGGCACCCAATCAATGCACACAACAGGCACCCAATCAATGCATACAACAGGCACCCAATCAATCATACAACGGGCACCCAATCAATGCACACAACAGGCAACCAAACAATCATACAACAGGCACCCAATCAATGCACACATGAGGCACCCAATCAATGCATACAACAGGCACCCAATCAATGCATACAACAGGCACCCAATCAATGCAAACATGAGGCACCCAATCAATGCATACAACAGGCACCCAATCAATGCACACATGAGGCACCCAATCAATGCATACAACAGGCACCCAATCAATGCATACAACAGGCACCCAATCAATGCAAACATGAGGCACCCAATCAATGCATACAACAGGCACCCAATCAATCATACAACAGGCACCCAATCAATGCATACAACAGACACCCAATCAATGCATACATAAGACACCCAATCAATGCATACAACAGGCATCCAATCGATGCACACAACAGGCACCCAATCAATGCACACAACAGGCACCCAATCAATGCATACAACAGGCACCCAATCAATGCAAACATGAGGCACCCAATCAATGCACATAACAGGCACCCAATCAATGCATACAACAGGCACCCAATCAATGCATACAACAGACATCCAATCAATGCATACAACAGACATCCAATCAATGCATACAACAGGCACCCAATCAATGCACACAACAGGCACCCAATCAATGCATACAACAGGCACCCAATCAATGCACACAACAGGCACCCAATCAATGCACACAACAGGCACCCAATCAATGCACACAACAGGCACCCAATCAATGCATACAACAGGCACCCAATCAATGCACACAACAGGCACCCAATCAATGCACACAACAGGCACCCAATCAATGCACACAACAGGCACCTAATCAATGCATACATGAGGCACACAATCAATGCATACAACAGGCACCCAATCAATGCACACAACAGACATCCAATCAATGCATACAAGAGGCACACAATCAATGCATACAACAGGCACCCAATCAATGCACACAACAGGCACCCAATCAATGCATACAACAGACATCCAATCAATGCATACAACAGACATCCAATCAATGCACACAACAGGCACCCAATCAATGCACACAACAGGCACCCAATCAAAGCATACAACTGGCACCCAATCAATGCACACAACAGGCACCCAATCAATGCATACAACAGACATCCAATCAATGCATACAAGAGGCACACAATCAATGCATACAACAGGCACCCAATCAATGCATACAACAGACATCCAATCAATGCATACAACAGGCACCCAATCAATGCATACTACAGGCACCCAATCAATACACACAACAGGCAACCAATCAATGCATACAACAGGCACCCAATCAATGCACACAACAGGCACCCAATCAATGCACACAAGAGGCACACAATCAATGCATAAAACAGGCACCCAATCAATGCATACAACAGACATCCAATCAATGCATACAAGAGGCACCCAATCAATGCACACAAGAGGCACCCAATCAATGCATACAACAGGCACCCAATCAATGCACACATGAGGCACCCAATCAATGCACACAACAGGCACCCAATCAATCATACAACAGGCACCCAATCAATGCATACAACAGACACCCAATCAATGCATAAAACAGGCACCCAATCAATGCATACAACAGACATCCAATCAATGCATACATAAGACACCCAATCAATCATCAGGCACCCAATCAATCATACAACAGGCACCTAATCAATGCACACAACAGGCACCCAATCAATCATACAACAGGCACCCAATCAATGCACACAACAGGCACCCAATCAATGCACACAACAGGCACCCAATCAATCATACAACAGGCACCCAATCAATGCACACAACAGGCACCCAATCAATGCACACAACAGGCACCCAATCAATCATACAACAGGCACCCAATCAATGCACACAACAGGCACCCAATCAATCACACAACAGGCACCCAATCAATGCACACAACAGGCACCCAATCAATCATACAACAGGCACCCAATCAATGCATCCATCAACCCCCCCCAGGCCCTGCCCCCCACAAGGCCGGGCGATGGGGGTGCAGGCCGGGGGGACGGCTACTCGGGGATGGAGTCCGTGGCCGGGTCTCGGACCCGCGCCAGCCGGCAGCTCTGGGCCCAGAGCGCCCGCTGCAGCTGCCGGTCGTAGGTGAGGGCCAGCGAGCGCGCCTCCCGGACGCCGTACAGGTACCGGCCGCCCGCGCCCTCCAGCTCCGGGGCCAGCGCGGCGAAGACCGAGGTCCGGGCGCCCTCATCCGGGGTCTGCGGGGAGGAGGGGAGAGTGAGAGCCAGCGGCGATCGGGGCAGCAGAGACACGGCCTCAGCTCACGTGCCTGCTGTCTGTCTGTCTGTCTATCCACCTGTCCATCCATCCACCCACCCACCCATCCATCTATCTGTCCATCTGTCTGTCCTTCTATCTATCATCTATCTTTCTATCTATCTATCTATCTACCTGCCTACCTATCCATCCATCCATCCATCCATCCATCCATGTATCTGTCATCTATCTACCTACCTACCTTCCTATTCATCCATCCATCCATCCATCCATCCATCCATCCATTTATCAACTGTCTACCTACCTACATATCCATCCATCCATCCATCCATCCATGTATCTGTCATCTATCTACCTACCTACCTTCCTATTCATCCATCCATCCATCCATCCATCCATCCATGTATCTGTCATCTATCTACCTACCTACCTTCCTATTCATCCATCCATCCATCCATCCATCCATCCATCCATCCATCCATCCATTTATCAACTGTCTACCTACCTACATATCCATCCATCCATCCATCCATCCATCCATCCATCAATCCATCAATCCATCCATCTACCTACCTACCTATTCATCCATCCATTCATCCATCCATCATCTATCCATCCATCCATCTATCATCTATCTACCTATGTATCCATCCATCCATCTACCTACCTACCTACCTATTCATCCATCCATCTATCCATCCATCATCTATCCATCCATCCATCTATTTATCATCAGTCTATCTATCTATCTACCTACCTATTCATCCATCCACCCATAAATGTATCATCCATATATCTATCATCTATATCTACCTATCATCTATCATCTATCAATGTATCTATGTATCTATCTATCTATCATCTATCTACCTATCCATCCATCCATCCATCCTGCAGGGGAGGGCAGTTAGCAGAGGAGGGAAATTGGGAATGACTGGGTTGACTCCCCGATCAGGCAGGGGAGCAGTTAGCGGCGATCAGGCAGGCAGGGGAGTGGTTAGGGGGGCGATCAGGCAGGGGAGTGGTTAGGGGGCCATCAGGCAGGCAGGGGAGTGGTTAGGGGCGATCAGGCAGGCAGGGGAGCGGTTAGGGGCGATCAGGCAGGCAGGGGAGTGGTTAGGGGGCCATCAGGCAGGCAGGGGAGCAGTTAGCGGCGATCAGGCAGGCAGGGGAGTGGTTAGGGGCGATCAGGCAGGCAGGGGAGTGGTTAGGGGTGATCAGGCAGGGGAGTGGTTAGGGGTGATCAGGCAGGGGAGCGGTTAGGGGCGATCAGGCAGGCAGGGGAGTGGTTAGAGGCAATCAGTCAGGCAGGGGAGCGGTTAGGGGCGATCAGGCAGGCCGGGGAGTGGTTAGGGGGCGATCAGGCAGGGGAGTGGTTAGGGGCGATCAGGCAGGCAGGGGAGTGGTTAGGGGCGATCAGGCTGGCAGGGGAGTGGTTAGGGGTGATCAGGCAGGGGAGTGGTTAGGGGCGATCAGGCAGACAGGGGAGTGGTTAGGGGCGATCAGGCAGGGGAGTGGTTAGGGGCGATCAGGCAGGCAGGGGAGCGGTTAGGGGCGATCAGGCAGGCAGGGGAGCGGTTAGGGGCGATCAGGCAGGCAGGGGAGCGGTTAGGGGCGATCAGGCAGGCAGGGGAGCGGTTAGGGGCGATCAGGCAGGGGAGTGGTTAGGGGCGATCAGGCAGGGGAGTGGTTAGGGGCGATCAGGCAGGCAGAGGAGCGGTTAGGGGCGATCAGGCAGGCAGGGGAGCGGTTAGGGGCGATCAGGCAGGCAGGGGAGTGGTTAGGGGCGATCAGGCAGGCAGGGGAGCGGTTAGGGGCGATCAGGCAGGCAGGGGAGCGGTTAGGGGGCGATCAGGCAGGCAGGCCGGCGAGCGGTTGGGAGCCAGCCGTCCTGGATTGCGAGAGGGACGTCCGACCGCCCGTTTAGGCCCAATTCTGCCAGGATCTGGCCTACAGGGGCCGTCGGACCCCCCCGAGGGGCCCCGGATCGGAGAGGGCGCCGGCTGGGCTGAGGGACACACTCTCCTCCTCCCCCCACGCATGAATTTCATGCATCAGGCCTCCAGTTTACACTCATAAAAGAGAAACAAACATGCAAATGGACCGTCCCTCCGCCACGCCCACCGGCCAATCAGGAGCGAGCATGCAAATGAGCCCAGCAAAGGCAGCTCCGCTGAGGCTGCAGGAATCCCCGTGCATCAGGCCTCCAGTCTACACTCATTAAAAAGACAAACATGCAAATGGACCGTCCCTCCGCCACGTCCACCAGCCAATCAGGAGCGAGCATGCAAATGAACCCCCAAAAGGTTGACTTTGCTCAGGCTGCGGGCAGCCTCATTCTTGCAGGAATCCTCACACATAGGCCTCCAGTCTACACTCATAAAAGAGAAACAAACATGCAAATGGACCGTCCCTCCGCCACGCCCACCAGCCAATCAGGAGCGAGCATGCAAATGAGCCCAGCAAAGGCGGCTCCACTGAGGCTGCAGGAATTCTCACACATCAGGCCTCCAGGCTACACTCATTAAAAAGACAAATATGCAAATTGACTGTCCCTACGCCACGCCCGCCAGCCAATCAGGAGCGAGCATGCAAATGAGCCCAGCAAAGACGGCTCCTATGAGGCTGCAGGAATCCCTGTGCATCCGGACCCCAGTCTACACTCATCAAAAAGACAAATATGCAAATGGACCGTCCCTCCGCCACGCCCGCCGGCCAATCAGGAGCGAGCATGCAAACGAACCCCAAAAAAGTTGACTAAAGCGCCATTCTTGCAGGAATCCTCACACATCTGGCCTCTCGTCTACACTCATAAAAGAGAAACAAACATGCAAATGGACCGTCCCTCCGCCACGCCCGCCAGCCAATCGGGAGCGAGCATGCAAATGAACCCAGCAAAGACGGCTCCAATGAGGCTGCAAAATTCTCACACATCAGGCCTCTCATCTACACTCATAAAAGAGGAACAAACATGCAAATGGACCGTCCCTCCGCCACGCCCGCCAGCCAATCGGGAGCGAGCATGCAAATGAGCCCAGCGAAGGCGGCGCGGCCGAGACCGCAGGAATCCCCGCGCACCAGGCCTCCGGCGAAGACGCAGATCCGCGCCCGGGGAGCCCACCTTGAACAGCCAGCGGCCCAGGAGCTTCTGCACCAGCCGGGTGCCCCAGAAGACGTGCCTGTAGAGGGCGGTGTCCACCACGCCTGGATCCGCAACCAGGGCCGACACGGGGCTGCCCCGGGCGTCCAGCAGGGCCTGCAGGTGGTAGGTGAAGAGGACCAGGGCCAGCTTGCTCTGGGCGTAGGCGGCGTGCGGGGAGTAGCCGTTTCTATGCGAGGAGAAAGGGGGAGAGAGCTTAGGTTATTTATTTTAATTGTTTAAACTTTAATTGTTTATTGTTTTAATTGTTTAAATTTTAATAAAGTTTTATTCTTCAGATTATTACAGTTATTTCTCTATTTTTTCATGCCCCTCCCCGTAGCTCCCCGCCCCCTGGTTCCCACCCCACTCTCTCCCCTTACCGCCCCTCCACCATATTTTTTAAAAAATATATATTTTATTGATTTTGTACAGAGAGGAAGGGAGAGGGATAGAGAGCTAGAAACATCGATGATGAGAGAGAATCATCGATCAGCTGCCTCCTGCACGCCCCCCACTGGGGATGTGCCCGCAACTAAGGTCCATGCCCTGGACCGGAATCGAACCCGGGACCTTTCAGTCCGCAGGCTGACGCTCTATCCATTGAGCCAAACCGGCCTTGGCTTGTTTTATTTTTGATATGAGAGGCACGGTGCATGGAATGCGAGCACTCGGACGGGGTGGGGTCCCTCAGCCCGGATGGCGAGAGGGCGCAGGCCAGGCCGAGGGCCCCCCCGGGGCAGGATCGGGGCCGGGGAGGGACGGGGAGGTGGGCCGGCCGGGGAAGGGCCGAGGGGGGGCTCCAGGGCGTGTCCGGCCCGTCTCGCTCAGTCCCCATCGGCCGGACCCCAGCAGCAAGCTGGCCTGCTGGTCGGAGCGTCTGCCCCCTGGTGGTCAGTGCGCGTCATAGCGACCGGTCGGCCGGTCGGCTGTCTGCCCCCTGGTGGTCAGTGCACGTCACAGCGACTGGTCACTCCATCATCTGGCTGACACCGGTCCCTGTCAGAGTGTGTGCAAGGGCAACAGATTGGTGTGTGTGTGTGTGTGTGTGTCTCACATCGATGTTAATCTCTCTCTCTCTCTCTCTCTCTCTCTCTTGTTTTTGTTTCTCCTTCACTCACTCGTAGCTGGTGTGGCTCAGTGGACAGAGCCTCGGCCTGCGGACGGAAGGGTCCCGGGTTCGATTCCCGGTCAAGGGCATGGGCCTGGGTGGCTGAGGGCGCATCCCCAGTGGGGGGCGTGCAGGAGGCGGCTGGTCCATGATTCTCTCTCATCATGGGTGTTTCTCTCTCTCTCTCTTTCTTCCTCTCTGAAATCAATAAAAATATACTTTAAAAAACGAATAAAAATAGCCCCGGCTGGTGTGGCTCAGTGGATAGAGCGTCGGCCTGCAGACGGAAGGGTCCCGGGTTCGATTCCTGGCTTATGGCACAGGCCTGGGTTGCAGGCCTCGATCCCCAGTAGGGGGCGTGCAGGAGGCAGCCGATCCGTGATTCTCTCTCCTCCTGGATAGTTCTCTCTCTCCCTCTCCCTTCCTTTCTGAAATCAATAAAAAAAAATACTTAAAAAAAAAAACCCAAAAACCTAAATAAAAACATAAATTCTGGGTGAAAAACATCCTTCAGTGAGGATGATCAAGAATACATAACGGTTGCTCCCTAAACCGGTGTGGCTCAGTGGACAGAGCGTCGGCCTGCTGGACGGAAGGGTCCCGGGTTCGATTCCCGGTCAAGGGCATGGGCCTCGGTGGCTGAGGGCACATCCCCAGTGGGGGGCGTGCAGGAGGCAGCTGATGGGTGTTTCTCTCTCATCATCGATGTTTATGACTCCCTGTCCCCCTCCCTTCCTGTCTGTATAAAACCAATAAAATACATATTTTTTTTAAAAAATGGTGAAATAATAACAGTAACGTCCCGCAGCCTCGAACCCGGCACCCACCTGCTCTGCAGGTCGTCCAGGGCGAGCTCGCCGACGTAGTGGGTGGCCGAGGACACGGAGACCACGCGGGCGTGGGCGCCCGGCCGGCCTGAGCGCTCCAGAGTGTCCAGCAGCAGGAGGGTGAGCAGGAAGTGGCCCAGGTAGTTCACCCCGAAGTGCTGCTCGAACCCGTCCGCCGTCTCCTGCCGCTCGGGCACCATCATCACGCCGGCTGCGGGCACGGGAGAGGGCGCCGGCTCATTAGCATGTGACCGGTCTCATTAGCATATGACCCTTCGCCAGGGAGGTTGCCCGGGCTCATTAGCATACGACCCTTTGCCCGGGAGGTCGCCCAGGCTCATTAGCATGTGACCCTTCGCCCGGAAGAATGCCCGGGCTAATTAGCATAGGACCCTTTACCCAGAAACTCATCCGACCTCATTAGCACATGACCCTTCACCCGGAAGGTCGTCCGGTCTCATTAGCATATGACCCTTCACTAGGGAGGTCATCCAGTCTCAATAGCATATGACCCTTCACCCAGAAGGTCATCCGGTCTCATTAGCATACGACCCTTCACCCGGAAGGTGGCCCGGTCTCATTAGCATATTTCAATACATCTGGATGGACGGCCGGTCTCATTAGCATATGACCCTTCACCTAAAAGGTCATCTGGTCTCATTAGCACATGACCTTTCACCTGGATGGACATCCGGTCTAATTAGCATATGACCCTTCACCCGGAAGGTCGCCCGGGCTCATTAGCATGTGACCCTTCGCCCGGGAGGTCGTCCTGGCTCATTAGCATGTGACCCTTCGCCCGGGAGGTCGTCCTGTCTCATTAGCATATCACCCTTCACCCGGAAGGTCATCCGGTCTCATTAGCATATGACCATTCATCTGGAAGGTCGCCCGGTCTCATTAGCATAGGACCCTTCAGCCGGACGGACAACCGGTCTCATTAGCATATGACCCTTAATATGGAAGGTCATCTGGTCTCATTAGCATATGAGCCTTCACCTGGAAGAACATCCGGTCTCATTAGCATATGACCCTTCACCTCGAAACTCATCTGGTCTCATTAGCATGTGACCCTTCGCCCGGGAGGTCGTCCGGGCTCATTTGCATACGACCCTTTACCCAGAAGGTCGCCCATTCTCATTAGCATATGACCCTTCATCCGGAAGGTCGTCCGGTCTCATTAGCATAGGACCCTTCACCCAGAAACTCATCTGGGCTCATTAGCATAGGACCCTTCAAACGGAAGGTCGTCTAGTCTAATTAGCATATTCCACTCCATCTGGATGGACGCCTGGTCTCGTTAGCCTATGACCCTTCACCAGGAAGGAGGTCTGGTCTCATTAGCATATGACCCTTAACCCGGAAGGTCGTCTGGTCTAATTAGTATATGACCCTTCAGCCGGACGGACAACCGGTCTCATTAGCATATGACCCTTAATATGGAAGGTCATCTGGTCTCATTAGCATATGACCCTTCACCTGGAAGAACACCGGTCTCATTAGCATGTGACCCTTCACCTGGAGGGTTGTCCGGTCTCATTAGCATATGACCCTTCACCTGGAAGGACGTCCGATCTCATTGGCATATGACCGTTCTAATTAGCATATTATGGTTTTATTTATTATTATAGATGACGAGAGGCCGGTTGCGTGAAGATTCGTGCAAGAATAGGCCTTCCCGCCCTGACCGGGGTGGCTCAGTGGATAGAGCGTCTGCCTGTGGACGGAAGGGTCCCGGGTTCGATTCCCGGTCAAGGGCGTGGGCCTCGGTGGCTGAGGGCACATCCCCAGTGGGGGGCGTGCAGGAGGCAGCTGATCGATGTTTCTAACTCTCTATCCCTCTCCCTTCCTCTCTGCAAAACAAAACAAAACAAAAAATCAACAAAACATATATTTTTTAAAATCCTATCTAATAAAACACTAATATGCACATTGTCCCCTCCAATCAGGAGTTCGACCAGCCAACCGCCCACAGCCCCGGCCCCTCTGCCCGACTGGGGCGGGCTGGCTGGCCCCCGCCCCTGCACGAATCCCTGCGCCTCGCCGCTCGTCAATAATCAATAAGACAGGAAATCGACGTCATCGGGACCCACCGTTGTTGACCAGCACGTGGACAGGCAGGTTCCTCTCCTTGAACTTGAGGACGAATTCGCGGATGGACCGCATGGAGGCCAGGTCACAGTAGGAGAACTCCACTGAAACAGATGAGAAGGCCCGGTAACTTCCCAGAATCCCCTGGGCCCGGTTAACTTCCCAGAATCCCCTGGGGCCCGGTTAATTTCCCAGAATCCCATGAGGCCCTGTTAACTACCCAGAATCCCCTGGGGCCCGGTTAACTTCCCAGAATCCCCTGGGACCCGGTTAACTTCCCAGAATCCCCTGGGACCCGGTTAACTTCCCAGAATCCCCTGAGGCCCGGTTCACGTCCCAGAATCCCCTGGGGCCCGGTTAACTTCACAGAATCCCCTGAGGCCCGGTTAACCTCCCAGAATCCCCTGAGGCCCGGTTAAACTCCCAGAATCCCCTGGGGCCCGGTTAACTTCCCAGAATCCCCTGGGGCCGGTTAACTACCCAGAATCCCCTGCGGCCCAGTTAACTTCCCAGAATGCCCTGAGGCCCGGTTAACTTCCCAGAATCCCCTGGGGCCCGGTTAACTTCCCAGAATCCCCTGAGGCCCGGTTAACTTCCTAGAATCCCCTGGGGCCCCGTTAACTTCCCAGAATCCCCTGAGGCCCGGTTAACTTCCAGAATTCCCGGTTAATTTCCCAGAATCCCCTGAGGCTCGGTTAACTGCCAAGAATTCCCCTTAGGCCCGGTTAACTTCCCAGAATCCCCTGAGGCCCGGTTAATTTCCCAGAATCCCCTGTGGCCCGGTTAACTTCCCAGAATCCCTTGTCTCCTTCCCGGGATTGGGGGAGGGGTGTAAGTGAACTCATGTAGATACCGTCTTGGTCCCGCGAGGAGCCAATGGTCTGAGAGGAGCCAATGGGAGGAGCCAATGATCTAAGAGGAGCCTGATCGCCCCCAACTGCCCCCCCTGCAGGCCTGGTCACCCCCAACTGCCCTCCCCTGCAGGCCTGGTCGCCCCCAACTGCCCTCCCCTGCAGGCCTGGTCGCCCCCAACTGCCCTCCCCTGCAGGCCTGGTCGCCCCCAACTGCCCTCCCCTGCAGGCCTGGTCGCCCCAACTGCCCCCCACTGCAGGCCTGGTCGCCCCTAACTGCCTTCCCCTGCCAGCCTGGTCGCCCCCAACTGCCCCCCCTGCAGGCCTGGTCACCCCCAACTGCCCTCCCCTGCAGGCCTGGTTGCTCCTAACTACCCTCCCCTGCAGGCCTGGTCGCGCCCAACTGCCCTCCCCTGCAGGCCTGATCGCCCCCAAGTGCCCTCCCCTGCAGGCCTGGTCGCCCCCAACTGCCCTCCCTGCAGGCCTGGTTGCTCCTAACTACCCTCCCCTGCAGGCCTGGTCGCCCCCAACTGCCCTCCCCTGCAGGCCTGGTCCCCCCTAACTGCCCTCCCTGCAGGCCTGGTCGCCCCCAACTGCCCCCCCCTGCAGGCCTGATCGCCCCCAACTGCCCTCCCCTGCAGGCCTGGTCGCCCCCAACTACCCCCCCTGCAGGCCTGGTCCCCCCCAACTGCCCTCCCTACAGGCCTGGTCGCCCCTAACTGCCCTCCCCTGCAGGCCTGGTGGCCCCCAACTGCCCTCCCCTGCAGGCCTGGTCGCCCCCAACTGCCCTCCCCTGCAGGCCTGGTCGCCCCCAACTGCCCTCCCCTGCAGGCCTGGTCGCCCCCAACTGCCCTCCCCTGCAGGCCTGGTCGCCCCCAACTGCCCTCCCCTGCAGGCCTGGTCGCCCCTAACTGCCCTCCCCTGCCAGCCTGGTCGCCCCCAACTGCCCCCCCCTGCAGGCCTGGTCACCCCCAACTGCCCCCCCTGCAGGCCTGGTTGCTCCTAACTACCCTCCCCTGCAGGCCTGGTCGCCCCCAACTGCCCTCCCCTGCAGGCCTGGTCCCCCCTAACTGCCCTCCCTGCAGGCCTGGTCGCCCCCAACTGCCCCCCCCTGCAGGCCTGATCGCCCCCAACTGCCCTCCCCTGCAGGCCTGGTCGCCCCCAACTACCCCCCCTGCAGGCCTGGTCCCCCCCAACTGCCCTCCCTACAGGCCTGGTCGCCCCTAACTGCCCTCCCCTGCAGGCCTGGTGGCCCCCAACTGCCCTCCCCTGCTGGCCTGATCGCCCCCAACTGCCCTCCCCTGCTGGCCTGGTCGCCCCTAACTGCCCTCCCCTGCAGGCCTGATCGCCCCCAACTGCCCCCCCTGCAGGCCTGGTCACCCCCAACTGCCCTCCCCTGCAGGCCTGGTCGCCCCCAACTGCCCTCCCCTGCAGGCCTGGTCGCCCCCAACTGCCCTCCCCTGCAGGCCTGGTCGCCCCCAACTGCCCTCCCCTGCAGGCCTGGTCGCCCCCAACTGCCCCCCCCTGCAGGCCTGGTCGCCCCTAACTGCCCTCCCCTGCCAGCCTGGTCGCCCCCAACTGCCCCCCCCTGCAGGCCTGGTCACCCCCAACTGCCCTCCCCTGCAGGCCTGGTTGCTCCTAACTACCCTCCCCTGCAGGCCTGGTCGCCCCCAACTGCCCTCCCCTGCAGGCCTGATCGCCCCCAACTGCCCTCCCCTGCAGGCCTGGTCGCCCGCAACTGCCCTCCCCTGCAGGCCTGGTCGCCCCCAACTGCCCTCCCCTGCAGGCCTGGTTGCTCCTAACTGCCCTCCCCTGCAGGCCTGGTCGCCCCCAACTGCCCTCCCCTGCAGGCCTGGTCCCCCCTAACTGCCCTCCCTGCAGGCCTGGTCGCCCCCAACTGCCCCCCCCTGTGGCCTGATCGCCCCCAACTGCCCTCCCCTGCAGGCCTGGTCGCCCCCAACTACCCCCCCTGCAGGCCTGGTCCCCCCCAACTGCCCTCCCTGCAGGCCTGGTCGCCCCTAACTGCCCTCCCCTGCAGGCCTGGTCGCCCCCAACTGCCCTCCCCTGCCGGCCTGGTCGCCTCTAACCGCCTCTGCCTCGGCCCCCGCCACCGTGGCTGTGTCTGTAAGGACGTCCAGAAACATGTCTGGTCTCACGAGCACGTTACCCTGTGATTAGTCTCGATATTTTTAAAAAAATAAATTAAAATAAAATATTAAAAAAACCAGCCCGTTTTCCAGACACACACACACGTCTGTGAGAGACACAGCAGATGGCGAGCAGCTGGCGCGGGGGAGGCGACGGTGGCGAGAACACGAGTGTGTTTTTTCCGGAAAAACACACATTTGCAGACACTCGTGTCCCCGCACGCTGGTGTCGGAGTAAAGAAATATGTTTGTTTGTTTTTTTTTGGCCAAAACCGGGGCGGCTCAGTGGGCAGAGCGTCGGCCTGCTGGACGGAAGGGTCCCGGGTTCGATTCCTGGTCAAGGGCATGGGCCTGGGTGGCTGAGGGCACATCCCCAGTGGGGGGCGTGCAGGAGGGAGCGGATGGATGATTCTCTCTCTCATCATGGATGTTTCTCTCTCTCTCTGTCCCCCCCCCTTTTCTCTCTGAAATCAATAAAAAATATATGTTTTTATGCAGATACATAAACATACATATGCATCCGTATTTTTAAAAAAATATATATTTTATTGGTCTTTTGCAGAGAGGAAGGGAGAGGGAGAGAGAGCGAGAAACATCGATGAGGAGAGAGAATCATCGATCAGTTGCCTCCTGCACGCCCCCCACTGGGCATGTGCCCTCAGCCACCGAGGCCCATGCCCTGGACCGGGAATCGAACCCGGGACCCTTCCGTCCGCAGGCCGACGCTCTATCCACTGAGCCACATTGGTTTTGGCTGAATTATATTTCTTTTATAAAAAAACACAAAATACGTTTTTATTGATTTCAGAGAGGAAGAGAGAGGGAGGGAGGGAGGGAGGGAGAGAGAGAGAGAGAGAGAGACAGAGAGAGAGAGAGAAGAAAGGAGAGAGATGGGAGAGAGACAGAGACAGAGAGAGAGAGAGAGAGAGAGAGAGAGACAGAGAAAGAGATAGACAGAGACACAGGAAAGAGAGAGAGAGAGAGGGGAGAGAGAGAGAGACAGGAAAACAGAAAAAGAGAGAGGAAAGAGAGGAGAGAGACAGAGAGAGAGACAGAGAGAGAGAGACCGCCTGGAGTCGAGGGTTGTGCACGGAATCCCCGTCGGGTCCCGGCCGCCAGCCCTACCTTCCGGGTTCCCGGTCTCCGCTCGGAGACTCCTCTCAGCCTGGTGGCCTTTGGTGACATCGTTTCCGGCTGAGAAAGAGAGAGAGAGAGAGAGAGAGAGAGAAAGAGGAAGGAGTGAGCAGCCTCGTTCCATTTTAACTTATTGTATTTATTTTTAAAAAAATATATCTTATTGATTTTGTTACCGAGAGGAAGGGAGAGGGACAGAAACATCGCTGAGGAGAGAGAATCATCCATCCGCCGCCTCCTGCACGCCCCCCACTGGGGATGTGCCCTCAGCCACCCAGGCCCATGCCCTTGACCTGGGAATCGAACCCGGGACCCTTCCGTCCGCAGGCCGACGCGCTATCCGCTGAGCCACCCCGGTTTCGGCTCATTTTGTTTTGTTTTAACGGGAGGCCCGGGACACACAGAAGGAACGCATTGGCTGCCTGCCCCCTGGTGGCCAGTGGCCGTCATAGCGACAGGCTGGTCGTACGGTCATCAGGGTCGTAAAGGTCGCTGAGGTTTTTATTTACAGACTGGAGGCTCGGGGCACGAAATTCACGCACGGGGAGGTGGGGGGTGGGGGAGGAGAGTGTGACCCTCAGCCCAGCCGGCGCCCTCTCCGATCCGGGGCCCCTCGGGGGGGTCCGACGGCCCCTGTAGGCCGGATCCTGGCAGAATTGGGCCTAAACGGGCGGTCGGACGTCCCTCTCGCAATCCAGGACGGCTGGCTCCCAACCGCTCGCCGGCCTGCCTGCCTGATGGCCCCCTAACCGCTCCCCTGCCTGCCTGATCGCCCCCAAACCACTCCCCTGCCTGCCTGATCGCCCCTAACCACTCTGCTTTCCTGCCTGCCTGATCGCCCCTAACCACTGCCCTGCCTGTCTGATCGCCCCTAACTGCCCTCCCCTGCAGGCCTGGTCACCCCCAACTGCCCCCCCCTGCAGGCCTGGTCGCCCCCAACTGCCCGCCCCTGCAGGCCTGATGCCCCTAACCGCTCCCCTGCCTGCCTGATCGCCCCTAACTGCCCCCCCCCGCCTGCCTGATCGCCCCTAACCACTCCCCTGCCTGTCTGATCGCCCCTAACTGCCCTCCCCTGCAGGCCTGGTCACCCCCAACTGCCCCCCCCTGCAGGCCTGGTCGCCCCCAACTGCCCTCCCCTGCAGGCCTGGTCGCCCCCAACTGCCCTCCCCTGCAGGCCTGGTCACCCCCAACTGCCCCCCCCTGCAGGCCTGGTCACCCCCAACTGCCCCCCCCTGCAGGCCTGGTCACCCCCAACTGCCCTCCCCTGCAGGCCTGGTCGCCCCCAACTGCCCTCCCCTGCAGGCCTGGTCGCCCCCAACTGCCCTCCCCTGCAGGCCTGGTCGCCCCCAACTGCCCTCCCCTGCAGGCCTGGTCGCCCCCAACTGCCCTCCCCTGCCGTCCATCTTGTGTCCACCTGGGGGCAGTCCACGTCCTAGCGACCGGTCGGCCAGTTGGACCGTCTGCCCCCTGGTGGTCAGTGCACATCGCCGCAGCCAGCAGCCGACTGGCCCGCCCTTAGCCTCCGACGCTCTGATTGGCTGGACAGCAGCCAATCAGAGGCCGGGACACGTAGCCCGTGAGGCTTTCATTTCCCAGGATGCACCGTGGGGCTCAGCGTCAGAGACCCCTCACTCACCGATGATCACACGCATGCCGAGCAGCGCCAGGCGCCGGCAGGTCGCCAGGCCAATGCCCTCCGTCCCTCCGGTCACTATGGCAACGCGGCCCGGTTGCCGGGCACAGACTGCGAAAGTGAAAGGAGAACAGAAATTAAAGGGGGACCTGTAGGGGCCGAGGATTTAGGTTTGGGTTTAGGGTTTAGAGAGAGGATTAAAAGGTAGGGTTAGTTTTTATTTCTTTATTTTAAAAAATATATGTATATATATATATGTGTATTTTTTTAAAAAATATATATATTTTAATTTTTTTAAAAAAATATATTTTATTGATTTTTTTTTTTTTTACAGAGAGGAAGGGAGAGAGATGAAGAGCTAGAATAAAAAAATATATATTATATTAATTTTTAAAAAAATATACATTTTATTGATTTTTTTTTTTTACAGAGAGGAAGGGAGAGAGACTAAGAGCTAGAAACATCGATGATGAGAGAGAAACATCCATCCGCCGCCTCCTGCACGCCCCCCACTGGGGATGTGCCCTCAGCCACCAAGGCCCATGCCCTTGACCGGGAATCGAACCCGGGACCCTTCTGTCCGCAGGCCGACAGCTCTACCCACTGAGCCACGCCGGTTTCGGCTTAAAATATATTTTTATTGATTTCTTACAGAGAGGAAGGAGAGGGAGAGAGAATTAAAAACACTGATCAGCCGAAACCGGTGTGGCTCAGTGGATAGAGCGTCGGCTTGGGGACTGAAGGGTCCCGGGTTCGATTCCCGGTCAAGGGCATGGACCTTGGTTGTGGGCACATCCCCAGTGGGGGGCGTGCAGGAGGCAGCTGATTGATGATTCTCTCTCATCGATGTTTCTAACTCTCTATCCTTCTCTCTTCCTCTCTGTAAAAAAATCAATAAAATATATATTTTTTTTAAAAAATAAAAAATTAAAAAATAAACAACGTTTTTAAAAAAAAAAAAAAAAAAGTTTTAGCCGAAACCGGTTTGGCTCAATAGATAGAGCGTCATCGGCCTGCGGACGGAAAGGTCCCGGGTTCGATTCCCGGTCAAGGGCATGGACCTTGGTTGCACGCACATCCCCAGTGGGGGGCGTGCAGGAGGCAGCTGATCCATGACTCTCATTGATGTTTCTAACTCTCTATCTCTCTCTCCTTTCCTCTCTGTAAAAAAAAAAATCAATAAAATATATAAAAAAATATATTTTTTAATTAAATTATTATCTGAGAACATATTTTAACATTGCAAGCTTTGTGTCCATTGGTTGTGCTTCTAGGCATGCAATCAAGTCCTTTGATCGATCTCTGATCGCCCCCAGATCTCCCTCCCCTCCCCGCTGTCCGCGTGTTGCTTGATTGTCTCTGTAATCTGTCTTTTGGGTTCATCCGCGTATCACGTTCCGGATTATCCTTGAAATGAGTGAGGAGTTGGGTGTTTCTCTCTTTCATTGTATTGATTTTCAGAGAGGAAGAGAGAGAGAAAAAAACAAACAGGGATTAGGAATCATTTGCACAATAACACAGGCTAATTGCCCTCAGGCCTCAGGAACCACGTGTCTGTTACAATGTATCAGCCCCAAAAGCCCACGGGGGAGGGGGGATACTTTGTTTCACTTTGTTTCGCAATAGAGTTACTTTTGCCCTAAAAAGTAACAAGGCCCGAAACCAGGCCGGTGTGGCTCAGTGGGTAGAGCGTCGACATAGGAACCCCCCGGGGGCTCCAACCAGGGGTTTGGGGAGGGTCCGGGCGCGCCTCTCCCTCCAGGATCGGAAACGGGGCGAGATTAAACGGGGGTGGGGGGGGGAACCAAAACGATTTTTGGGGGTTTGGATAGGGGAATCCAGGCCCCCCACAAGCACCCAGCGGTGGGGGGACCCCCGGGGGTCCAATCTAGGGCGTCCAGGGCACGCGCAACGGGTTTGGAGAGGGTCCCGCGCGCGCTCTAGGCCGGGTCCCTCCTCCCCGGAGACAGAGAGCGATTAAAAGGGAAAAGCCGATTTTTGGGCTTTGGATCGGGGGGTCCAGGCCCCCCCATACCCACCCAGCGGCGGGGGGACCCCCGGGGATCCAATCTAGGGCGTCCAGGGCGCACGCAACAGGTTTGGAGAGGGTCTGGCCCCTCCTCCCCGGACGCGCCCCTCCCTCTGGGACCGGGGACGGGGCGCGATTTAACGGGAACAGCTGACTTTTTGGGATTCGGATCGGGGGTCCAGGTCCCCCCCACACCTATCCCTTTTTTTAAATTCAAATAATAGGAGGCTTTTGGAAATGCTATAAGGTAGTCTTGATAGCGTTTACATTTTATTTTTATTTTATTTTTTTTTAGCGTTTACATTTTAATTATTTGCGCTGCGCTAGGGCTGCTTTCGGTTCCTAACGCCTTGTGCCATTTTACCTAACTTTTGGGATGGGAATGGGGGGGGGGGGGGGAGTGAGGACGACGATGGGAGGCCATACTCAATAAAATAAATAAAAAATGAATTTTAAAAGAAATGCCCCTTTCGCAGGGCAGACAGGGGACTCGGACAAAATTATGTGACACGACTGTCTAACGGTAAATATGTTCTAGTGCACATGGAATCAAGTGTTTTTTAAAGAACTTATTGGGCAAAAAAAATAACATAATAAAAATTTAAAAAGGTAGAAAAAGAAATATCATTAATCAAAATTTTAAAAATTTTAAAAATAAAAATTAAAAGTCCCGACGCCGCGAGACAAAGGGTTAAAAAATCGGGACGGCCCCGCCAAAAGCGGGACGCCTGGTCCCCTTGTTCTAGGACCGGAAACGGGGCGTGATTTAACCGGAAACAGCCGCTGTTTGGGGTTCAAATTCAGGGGTCCAGGCCCCCCGAACCCTCACCCAGCGGTGGGGGGACCCCGAGGCTCCCAACTAGGGCGCCCGGTTCCGCCCCGCGTCCCCGCGCGCGCGTCCGCGACTCCGGGACGCGCGCCGCTTCCGGGCCGCCTGCCCCCACTTCCCACAACCCCCCGCGGCCCCACCCACAAGCCCCCGCGCGTGCGCGCGTCACCTGGTTCCGCGAAGCCGCCGAGGAGGCGGCGTAGCAGCTGCGCCAGGATCACCGCCGCGCCCGCCGCGTAGACGCGCAGTGCCGCCCGCGCCGCGGACCAAGGCGACATGGCCGCGCGGCCTCCTCTGGCTCCTCCGGCTCCTCCGGCTCCTCCGGCTCCTCCCCGCGCGCCCCGGGGCCTGGGCCGCCCCGGGTCCGGCCCACCTGGGGGGCGGAGGGAGCCTGGACCCGCCCGGGCCCCGCCCCTCCTCCTCGGCCACGCCCCTTGGTGCGTAAGCCATGTACCTTCATGCGTAAGTGACGTCCTGTCCCGCGTAGGCCCTGCCCCGCCCGGGCCACGCCCCTCCTCGGCCACGCCCTTTCGCGTGTAAGTGACGTCCTGTCCCGCGTAGGCCCCGCCCCGACCCGCCCGAGCCACGCCCCTGCTTCTCGGCCACGCCCCTCCATGCGTAAGCCACGTCCTTCATGCGTAAGTGACCTCCTGTCCCGCATAAGCCCCGCCCGGACCCGCCCGGGCCACGCCCCTCCTTCTTCGGTCACGCCCCTCCTGCTCGGCCACGCCCCTTCGTGCGTAAGCCAGGTCCTGCCCCACGTAGCCTACGCCCCTCCCTGCGTCAGCCACGCTTCTTCATGCGTAATCTACGTCACGCCACGTGAAAGCCCCGCCCCTGCGTAGGCCAAGCTTCTTCATGAGTAGCTACGTCACGTAGTGTAAGCCCCGCCCCTGCGAAGGCCACGCCCCTTTCCTCGTCGGCCACGCCCCTCCTTCAGCCACACTCTTCCCCGCATCGGTCACGCCCCGTCCCCGCGTAGGCCACGCCCTGCGTAGGCCACCCTCCTCCCTAGGTTTGACACGCCCGCCCCCACGCGTGCCACGCCCCCTGCGTCGGCCCCGCCCCTCCCTGGCTAGGCCACGCCCCTCCAGGACCGTGACCGACTAGGAACCTGGGACCATCAGCCCCATTTGACCGCTATTCTCCCTCCCCCTTCCCTTCCGGTCCCCAGCGGGGATCCCCCCCAAACCAGGGGGACCCCGTCTTCACCCCGGGTCCACCCGCCTCACCCTCCCCGGACCAGGGGCCGCCCCCTCTCCCCTCTCCCCTCCCCGCCAGGATACTTCATCCTAATGATAATGGATTGTTTTACATTTTTATTCATTCATTCATTCATTCATTCACTCATTCACTCATTCACTCATTTTATTCACGCTTTTTTTTTTAAATATATATTTTTTATTGATGTTTTACAGAGAGGAAGGGAGAGGGACAGAGAGCTAGAAAGGTCGATGAGAGAGAAACATGGACCAGCTGCCTCCTGCACGCCCCCCACCGGGTATGTGCCCGCCACCAGGGTCCATGCCCTTGACCGGGAATCGAACCCGGGACCTTTCAGTCCGCAGGCTGACGCTCCGTCCACTGAGCCACACTGGCTTCTGCTTATTCACTCATTTTATTCCCTCATTTCTTCACTCATTTCTTCATTCACTAATGCATGCATTCACTCATACACTCACTACTTCATTTATTCACTCATTCATTCGTTCTCTCATTCATTCACTCATTTATTCACTAATTCACCCATTCATTCGCTCGCTCATTTACTCACTCATTCAGTCATTCATCCACTTATTTATTCACTAATTCATTCGATCACTCATTCATTCACTAATTCATACATTCATTCACTCACTAATTCACTCATTCATTCATTCACTCATTTATGCACTAATGCATTCAATCACTCATTCATTTATTCTCTCAGTCATTGATTCACTCATTCACTCATTTATTCTCTAATTCATTCACTCATTCATTCATTTATTCATTCACTCATTTATGCACTAATGCATTCAATCACTCATTCATTTATTCTCTCAGTCATTGATTCACTCATTCACTCACTCACTCACTCATTCACTCATTCAACAAGCATGTCTGCGTGCCAGACCCACCCAGGACTCAGTGGGACCCCCTGGGAAGACCTGTGGTGAGCCAATCGCGTCCCATCACTTTCTGAGGCGCCAGGACTGGGCTTGGCTGCAACAATATAACCATTTTTCCAACCGCTACAATGTTTCTCTTTGCAACTGCAACAATGTAGCCATTTTTAGCTGTTACAATGTTTCTATTTTTCAGCTGCTACAAATGTTGCCATTTCCCAGGAAGGATCGCTTGGCATCTGTTCCCCCAGCCTCGGTCCAAACGGCATTTCCCTGTTGGAAGGAAAATACGTGAGAAATCCTTGGCAGGAGAGCCTGCCGGGCTGTGCCGTCAAAGCTTAGAACTAATTTACGCTGCGGAGCCCAGAGGCTCAGGGGTTGAGCTTCCATCCTCGGAACCAGGCGGTCACGGGTTCGATTCCCGCTCAAGGGCACAGGCCCGGGGGCTGTGGGCTCCATCCCCAGCAGGGGGCGTGCGGGAGGCAGCCGATGGGTGATTCTCTCCTCTCCCTCTCTCTTCCTCTCTGAAAATTTTTTTAAAAATATATATTTTTTATTTTATATATATGTATTATATATTTTATTTTATTACATATATTTATTATATTAAGATATTTTATTAAATGTAAATATATAGTAAGCTATATATATTTATTATATTAAGATATTTTATTAAATGTAAATATATAGTAAACTATATTATATTAAGATATTTTATTAAATGTAAATATATAGTAAACTATATTTATTATATTAAGATATTTTATTAAATGTAAATATATAGTAAACTATATTTATTATATTGAGATATTTTATTAAATGTAAATATATAATAAATTATATATATATAATAAATTATATATATAATAAATTATATATATATATATGTAATTTTTTTAAAAAAAAGTAATTAACCTTAACGGCTACGGCTGTGACTCAGTGGATAGAGCCGGCCTTGGGACTGAAGGGTCTGTTGTATGGTTTTGCCATTTTTTTTTGTTGTTGTTATTTTTGTTTTTTTACAAGAGAACCAGGGAGCAGAGAGCAGGGTCCTCTGTATTTCACAAAATTCTTATTTTTCGATTACGTATGGGTTACAGGGTGTGCCAGGAAACGTAGACAGGAATGCACGTGGAAGGATGACCAATTTAGCTTTTATATTTTTTTTAAAAATATATATATATATATAATTTATTTTATTATATATTTACATTTAATAAAATATCTATCTATCTACCTATATTTTTTTTTTTTTCAAAGAGGGAGAGAGAGAGAGAGAGAAACATCCATGAGGAGAGAGAATCACAGACCGGTCGCCTCCTGCGCGCCCCCTACTGGTTGGGGACGGAGCCCACAAACCTCGGGGCCTGTGCCCTTGACCAGGAATCGGACCCGGGACCTCCTGGTTCCTATGACGACGCTCTAACCGCTGAGCCACCTGGCATGTATCTTGCGACCGATTGCAATTCTCACCTTTTATTTTCGGGGCCCCAGGTGGGTGTCAGACACTTCCCGGTAGCAGCTGAGGGGTTTCTCCCAGACACAGGCTGTCTCTCTCTCTCTCTCTCTCTCTCTCTCTCTTTCTCTCTCTCTCTCTCACACACACACACACACACAGGGTGTTCATTTCTCTCTCTCTCTCTCTCTCTCTCTCTCTCTCTCTCTCTCTCTCTCTCTCATACACACACACACACACAAACGGTGTTCATTCTCTCTCTCTCTCTCTCTCTCTCTCTCTCATTTCTCCCAATGTGCGTCTCTCTCTCTCTCTGTCTCTCTCTCACACACAGTGTTCATTTCTCTCTCTCTCTCTCTCTCTCTCTCTCTCTCTCTCTCTCATTTCTTCCTCTGTGTCTCTCTCTCTCTCTCTCTCTGACACACACGCACAGTGTTCATTTCTCCCTCTCTCTCTCTCTCTCTCTTTCTCTCTCTCTCTCTCTCTCTCTCTCTCACACACACACACACACACACACACACACACACACACACACAGGGTGTTCATTTCTCTCCCTCTCTCTCTCTCTCTCTCTCTCATTTCTCCCTCTGTGTCTCTCTCTCTCTCTCTCTCTCTCTCTCACACACACACACACACACACACACACACACACACACAGGGTGTTCATTTCTCTCTCTCTCTCTCTCTCTCTCTCTCTCTCTCTCTCTCTCTCTCTCTCTCTCCTCCTTTCATTGCCGTGTTTATTTATAGCGGGGGCCTACTTTCTACAGGGCTAGAATCTCTCCACCTTTTTATTTTTATTTTTTTTATTTTATTTTATTTTAAAAAAAGGTTTTGTCTTGTTTTTTTTTTTTTTTTTGGAGTTTTCAAAGCGGGCGTGACTCCTGGAGTCCCAGGCCCCAGGGAAGCGATGGGACCGGAGGGGGGTTTCCGAATTCCCACCACGACCCCCGCCACCAAACAGTCAGCCAGGCCGACGCCACAGATTCCCTCTGAAGCTTCCTT